TGCGAGGCGCCTTTGAGGCCTCGTTGATCTGCGGCCTCTGTTTGCATTGCCGGGCGTTGAGGCTGGTGCCCACGCCTGCTTTTTTGTTAAAGGAACTTAAAGAGTGGGGTCAAAGCTGTGCTGAAGTTGTCACGTAGAGTCCCGGTGCAGAACAGGCTGACAGTTGTTCAGGAAAAGAGTAGAAATTGTTTGAGAGAAGTGACTCAGGTGAGATACTAGGCAAAAGTTCTACACAGAGCGGAGAAGCCTTGGAACAGGCTGCCTGGTGCCCACGCCTGCTTTTTTGTTAAAGGAACTTAAAGAGTGGGGTCAAAGCTGTGCTGAAGTTGTCACGTAGAGTCCCGGTGCAGAACAGGCTGACAGTTGTTCAGGAAAAGAGTAGAAATTGTTTGAGAGAAGTGACTCAGGTGAGATACTAGGCAAAAGTTCTACACAGAGCGGAGAAGCCTTGGAACAGGCTGCCCAGGGAAGTGGTGGAGTCGCCATCCCCGGCAGAGTTTAAAAAACGTGGGGATGAGGCACTGAGGGACGTGGTTTAGCAGGCAGGGTGTTGGAGGGCTTATGGTTGGCCACAATGGTCTTGAAGGTCTTTCTCGACCTTAATGATTCTATAATTCTTTAACCATCAAGTGGAAGAGTATGGATTATGGCTTTTGGTCAAGAAGAATAGGGGTCTTTAGATGATTTTTTTTTATCATTTTTAAAAGTAATTTGCACACAGTGGAGAGTGATATTCCTTGTATTTCCTGTGTTCTGTACTTTTAAAGCCACAGTTTCAAGACAAAGTTAGCATATTTGCTTTATCCTATTGGCAGATTGTCAGAACGGAACTGTATAGAGATCGTCACTAAACTGATTGCTGAGAAGCAGTTGGAAGTGGTGCACACGCTTGATGGAAAAGAGTATGTCACTCCAGCACAAATTTGTAAGGAGATCCGGGATGAGCTTCATGTCTGTGGTGGTAAGTGTGGCCTTTCCTTTCCTCTAGATTCATAGCTCAATTCTAGAGACTCCAGAAAGAGATTGAAAGTTATATTCAATAACCTTAATTTTCCAAAAAATGTCCATGCTTCTATCGCTTCCATCTCAAAATGAATCTGCCTACAATAATTTTAACTTCATTTCTGTATTAGATTTTTAGGTAAACATATCGAGGTATGTTAGTTGTTTCATTTTCACCCATACAGAATTTCAGATGTAGAAATGACCCAAGAAACTTTTGAAGGGAATTTGACATTTAAATATTTTTGAGAAACTGGAACCAAATGTTCAGCCTGGACTCAGAATTTTGAAGTCATTCTCCTTTCCTGTTAGTAGTAGTAATAATCATATGTTAAAATTGTCATTGGTGGATTCAGACATCTTTTATTATACCACAGAATGAACAGACATCTGCTTTGTTAGCTGTGACTCAGATAGCAGTTTAAAATTTAAAGTTGTTGACGTTTGATAGTAAAGATAGAAAGCTTTGATGGACTCCATTGTGATACCCACAGACTTGTGATCAGAAAGTGACTGGCAACAAGGAGAAGACCTGTTGGAAGGGAGCCCTTTGGTTGATGAGTTGTTTGTTTGGTTTTGTCAACAAGGACACAGTTCAGGTTGATATGGGATATCTCACACTGACTGCATGTGCGCTCTTCCTGTCTTTTGGCAATGTTAAAGTTGAATTGGTTTTATTTAAGATGTTTAGGAAAAAATAATGAAAAGGTATTTCCTGCACACAACAGACTCTGCTGCATTCTAAATCTGTTCAAATGTACTTTTGTAT